GACAGAAGATTAAACTGGAGGAAGCATATATTTACTAAGCGAAAACAACTGGGTCATAAGTTAAGAACCATATATTGGCTGTTGGGCAAAAAATCAAAACTATCAACCGAAAATAAAATATTAATCTACAAATCCATCCTAAAACCAGTGTGGACTTATGGGATAGAATTATGGGGAACCGCCGCACATTCCAACATTGAAATAATACAAAGATTCCAGTCCAAAACATTGAGATCAATACTAGGAGTTCCATGGTTCATAACCAATGAAGCCATTCATCGGGATGCCGGACTATCATATGTCAAAGATGACATCAAAAAGTGCGCGAAAAAACATAAAGAGAAACTTAAAGTGCACACAAACGTGTTAGCAAAAAGTTTAGTGAATAAACCGCAAACTGTTCGTAGGCTAAAACGAAAAGTTCCGTTAGAGTTAAGTGAACAATAGGTTCTAAATTAATGTGTACAAGTCTATGTCAGAAATAGTCAGTGTTGTAGGCTAAGTTTTTAAAAAAAGGGGAGCATCACTGGATGCCTCCCTACATGTCATTCCAAATTATTGTCAGTTCTATTACTTATTGTCTATTATCTACCTAAATATTTAGGTTTAGATTGTACAGATAGATTGTAATAAATGTGGGGTTAATAAAAAAAAAAAAAAATTTTATATGTTCTGTGTCAGTGTTTACTTATTTACTTACTTATTTATTATTGTTATTGTCACTTTTTTCTTCCTTTTCTTTATGTAAAAACTGCAATGTGTAAAGATCATACGAATATATATATATATATATATATATATATATATATATATATATATATAACACTGTTTTTGATGGGTTGTAGTCAATAAAAGGGGCTATTTGTTGACTATTTTTTACTCGAGCTTTCAATTGTGATTACAATTTTTATCAAGAGCTTCTAAAAAATACAAAATGTCTTACAAAGTTGAACTAGAAATAAAAAATTTTTTGTTAACTTACCAAATAAAATTAGTTTTTTATATAAAACTACTGCTTACATGTCTCATATGCTACAGTTACTACTTAAAGTCACAATTTGGTTTTCGCAAAGGCTTAGGAACGCGTGAACCTCTTTATTCACTTAATATACTGATACAAACAGGTCTGGACGTCAATCAAGATATAATTATACGCATGTTTTATTGACTATAAAAAAAATATGGATACAGAAGTCCCTTCCCAGTGATTGGAAATATTGGAATACTTTGCACCATACACAAAAAGGGAGATATCTTTGAATGCTCTAACTATCGAGGAATTACGCTCCTAAATGCAGCTTATAAAATATTCTCCAATATACTATGCAATCGTATGGCAACCGTATGCAGAGCAAATAATAGGACAATTCCAGGCTGGTTTCAGAGGTGGTAAATCAACAATTCATCAGATTTCAACCCTGAGACAAATTCTAGAGAAAACGCTGGAATACGGTATAGACACGCACCACATATTTATAGACTACAAGGCAGCCTATGACTCTGTAAATAGAAAAGAATTATTTAGAGCAATGATAGACCTGGAGTACCAAATCAGTTGGTAACTCTCTGAACCTTTTAATGCAAATAACGGACTACGTCAGGAGACCCACTCTCCTGTATACTATTTAATCTAGCTCTGGAAAAAGTAATACGTACGTCACAAATCACAACTACCGGTTCAATATAAACAAATCTGTCCAAATCCTAGCATATGCCTGACGCCAGACGCACCAATCAAGCGTCTCGACTTTGCCTAGTCCTTCCTTTTTTTAACTTTTAATAATTTCAATTGGTTGAGAAATGAAAAAGTTTCGTATAAAGTTAAAATAACTTTAAATACGGGACATTTTCGGATCTCCGGTCAGTACCGTTTTTACTCTCAGAGAGTAGCCGTCGAGCTCCTCACTTGAAGGACTCGGCAATTTTTTCAACAACCACCACATAAGACTCTGATGTTGACTTTTTTTTCCTTCAGAGATGTTTGCTTTTATTTCTACAACCTTAAAAATACTTACAGGCATTGTCTTTTTTCAAGACAATGCCCCAAAGAGCGTCCTGGACTAACATCGCAATATTGTGCAATAATTGCGCAATGTTAGATCATGGCGATATTAATAACCATGGGAAATGCACATAGTTGCTTGTACGTTTTTCCATGGCTTATTAATTCCAGAGACGACATGCCGATGATATCAATATTGTTGGGAAACGGAAAACGCAGCACGAGAGGCGTATGTAGCACTAAAGGAAGTGGCTAAAAAAATTGGTTTAATAATAAACATTAATAAAACGAAATACATGAAAATAGGTCCGCAACCACAAATACGACGGCCACTTGTTTATAGAAAACGACGTCATCGAAGCAGTTAATTAATTTGTATACCTGGGAACGCTCGTCAATACTGAAAATGACACTACCGCAGAGATAAGTCGCAGAATTTGCACGGTAATAGAGGTTTTTTCTATCCTTAATCTCCTTTTTAAATCTACAGAAGATACTAGACACCATTCGACGATAGTCGAATCGTCGATTCGTCCATAGACGATACAACTTCGAACTCTATAGAATATACCAGAAACCAGATATCATAAAACACATTAAGATAGGACGTCTGAGGTGGGTAGGCCATGTAATGCGGATGGAGCAAACCGACCCAGCTAGAAAAACGCTCCTTGATAGACCTATTGGCCAAAGAAGAAGAGGAAGACCCAGAACAAGATTCTTCGATAACATAGACCAAGATATGAGAAATATGGAAATACGTGCTTGGCGGAGGAAGGCGATGGATAGGGATGACTGGAAGAGAATTATTGGGGAGGCTAGGACCCACACAGGGTTGTAGAGCCAAAATGATGATGTTTATTGACTATAATAAAGCATTCGATATAGTACGACATAAACCATTAATGAATGTCCTGAAATCAAAGAAGATTGACTACAACGACCTCAGGATCATATCAAATGTATACTATAAACAGCGAGCAAAAGTACGTGTTAACAAACAGCTGTCAGAAGAAATTGAAATTAGGTGTGAAGTGAGACAGGGATGCGTATTGTCGCCAATTCTTTTTAATGCCTACTCCGAAGAGATCATGAAAAACGCTCTTGGGGTGAAACAGCTGGAATAAAGGTAAATGGAGTTCCCATTAACAACATAAGATATGCGGACGACACTGTGATCTTAGCCGAAAACATTAAAGATCTTCAGAGACTGGTGACCAGAATAGCACAGTATGGAAAATAATATGGTCTAACAATGAATGTCAAGAAGACGAAATTTATGAGAATATCGAAAACTCAAAGAAATAACGAGAATATTTTAATAAACGGAACCAACGTCGAACAAGGGGACAAATATGCATATCTGGGAACAATAATTAACTCCACAAAGATTACAATCAGAAGATCAAAATAAGAATAGAAAAGGCTAGAGTAAATTTCAACAAAATGAGAAAAGTGCTATGTACCAGGGATTTAAAACTGGAACTTAGAGTTAGGTTGGCGAGGTGCTATGTTTTTTCGACTTTATTTTATGGAATGGAATATTGGACCTTTAATGCAACATCAATGAAAAAACTGGAATCATTCGAGCTGTGGGTGTACAGAATAATATTGAAAATATCGTGGACAGAATATGTCACTAACAAAGAAGTTCACAAACAATTGATTATGCAGGGAAAGATACAAGGAAAGAGAAGCATAGAGAGGAGTAAAATGTCATGGCTGCGCAACCTGAGAGAGTGGTACGGATGTACATCAAATGAACTTTTCAGAGCAGCCATCTCAAAAGTTCGAATAGCTATGATGATTGCCGACCTTCGCCGCAGAAATGGCACTTGAAGAAGAAGATAAATTCAAGTGAAAACTCAATCGCCTTACTCCCTTCACAACCACGTGCATACTAAAGCTGCAAGTCGTGAAACAGGTAAATGCACATTTGTGCTGCTATAGCCGTAGTGTCTAAAAACGACCGTTTCGTTTTGGACGGCTATTGCCGTCCTGCCTCATAATGAAATATAGCTTTGACGGTTATATACGCAAGTGTCTGTCACCGTTTTAAAAAAACAAATATTTTGGTTGTTCATAAAAAAAGCTTTGAAATAAATTATGCAGTCGGATTACATACTTTTAATTACCAAAAAATTGTAGTGTCACTTGTTAAAATATAATTCTTATTTTGAAGCTATATTCTTGTGGCATTTTAAAGTAATAACTATTTAAATGGGAATAAGCCACAATTAAAGGTTTAAGTACGTTTATTGACGTTTCAATTTCCACTTCGGAAATCGTTCTCAAAATACAAACATTAGTAAATTAAACAAATTTTGCTTTTTGTTAGGTACTTAGTGAAAAATTCTTTTAATAAGTTTAATTTTATCTGACTCATTTATATTGACAATTCAGACATAAATTATACATTTTTAAAGTAGACGATTTTAAAATGATATTGCCAATATTGTTTAGTTGCTCTCCTGGGACGACTTTACTTATAAGATAGTTCATTCGATTACATGAAATCAACTTTAACTTGAGAACATCCATCAGAAAAAATCATAGCATGTAATTTGTCTTTAAAAAGACAAACACATGCCATAATGACAGTAAAATTATTAAATTACATTAAAAAACAAAATTTGTTTAATTTACTAATGTTTGTATTTTGAGAACGATTTCCGAAGTGGAAATTGAAACGTCAATAAACGTACTTTAACCTTTAATTGTGACTTATTCCCATTTAAATAGTAATTACTTAAAAATATTATTAATATAAAAAGGTCTAAACCAAGTGCTATTACCCATTAAGTTCTGATATTTCAAAAACTGGAGTAAATACATTTGTAAGGTGTAAACAGTTTAAATCATACTTGCGAATTATCTTTAGAAATGTTTCTCCTTCAACCTGAAGTAGCCTAGAAACATTTTAGTTTGTTGTTTAACTATAAACAGATTGTAGCAAATATTGAATGTTGAAATAATATACTCTATTTTTATGTTGTAGGTAAATTCAAACGGACTCCTGTCGTTCCAAACGGAGATCCCAAGATTTATAAACATAGAATTTCCATTAGATTATCCGATCATTGCACCTTTTTATTCTAACGTGGATACTACGACGGCAGGAACTGTATCTTACTACGAAACAGAAAATCCAGGATTAATACAGAGGGCAACAGAAAATGTCCATGATTCATTCTTGAACTTTGCTGACTTCCAAGCTACTAGTTTACTTATAGTTACATGGCAAGGTAAATCATTATAGGGTAAATAATAGTTTACAAAATATTAAGGATATTAGGGATATTTAGGTTATCTATCATGGTAGTACACTATTGCATCGATAATATAAGAATATAAAGAGCTATAAAATTTAATTTGATTTTGCTATCAAACTCAAACATTCCCAAGATAGGAAAATTTTGAAATTTTAACGAAATTGTAAAAAAAAGAAGGAAAAGCAACTTAACCTATAAGGGCACTGTTGCTTGGATAATCTGTTAATATTGCTGAAACATTTTCTTCAGTGTTTGTACTGATAACCTCATTGGATAATATCATTCACCAAATCAAAACTGTAAAACCGTAAGAATCTTAATTGACTGGTACTAAATAATAAAGTGTTTCCAATTTTGGTGTCGGGATATGAAAGATTATGTCCTTAGAAATAAAATGCAAAAGGGGCTAAACAATCATAACTACAAATGGTGATACCTGTAGGAACAAACCCATTAAAAAAATCATAAACAGTATTGAGACAAGGTTTTCGGCTAGTTTAATTAATCTTATCACAAACTAGACAATGTAGCTTCGCAGAAATATAAAATACACCTTTCAAAGCGCACAGGCTTTACGGGTTTTTATCAATAGCAAGTACTTTGGTGCAAATTGACCAAGCATTATAAACAAATATTGTCCCGTTTGATTTAGGAAAAAGGTGAAAAAGAAGAATATCACAATCTTTTAATAGGCCGAAATGCGAACAATGGGTTTCAGCTTATTGAGTCTGGATGGGTGGATGAAACGATTAGTACCAAAACATAATTTTCAAAAAAAAAATGTGACCGTCACAATACTCTTCCATTTTTGAAACGGCAGTTAATATTAATATTAGAAAGGAAATTACTATGTAGAACTAAACAATATTGTTATCGCGTGTAGGTACTTGATCCCACAATGCGTCACGGAACTTCTTTTGGAGCTCTGCATGGCTTATAAGATCTAAAGTTGTGAGGTAGGCTATTTGGGTGGGTAATACTTTGAGGGAGGCAATTTGGTTGGGTAGTTCACGAGTATTGATGATTCTGAAGAAGCCACATTGAATGAATTTCTCCAGAGGAATATTGGTTATAAAGTAATGGAAGGATCTAGGTGTAGAGGATGCGTTAGAGGTCGAGGGCTGGATGAAGGTTGAACTTGTGTTGAATCGCTTAGGTTTTTGGGTGGCTGTAGCGTACTATGCTTATGTATTTGAGTGTGATATGTTTGGTTGAGTATTTTGGATGGATGCAGTAGGTTGTTTTGGGTGGTGGATGCTTGGGTAGTGGTTGTTTGTGGGGTTGTGAGGGAGTGGTGGATTCCCGGGACTGCTAACATTCAACCATCTAGCTCTGTGGCTCTTTACAGACCCAGTACGCCACGTGGTCGTCCGAATATGGACTAGTGTGTACGATGTCGTTGTTCGCTGAGATCTGTTGCTGCTATCGGCTCTATCGGCAGTCCCGAGCGGTCAGAGCTGTGAATGGGTTTAGTGACCTTATGCTGTGGGGACTGCTGTTCGTTTATGTTCTGTTGCTTCTGATTCTCTGTGTGAACTGTTATTAAAGTGCTATTTTTGCTTAAACCCGCTCTTAATTCAGCATGTGTAGTGTATATAACACAACACAGCAATAACTCCGCCATCTACTACAATAATCACCAAATTATGTTTCTTATTATTATGTTGGAATAAGCTCTTCAATTCTTTTATATCATTATATGGAAAGTATTCAAAGTAGGCAGATTTACTAATATCACTTAAAAAAAATCTAAAGTTACATAAAAATTACAATTACAGGTGTTGGCTACTTCAACAATGGATCCGATAAAGTAAATACCTACCAAGTTGTCATTTCCACCGATGGTGAGCAGTCGTACGTTGAATTCTTATACCCTGAAAACGGGATTCAATGGATCCAGGGCACAGGGGATGAATCAGGTTTACCAGATGCCCGAGCTCAAGCGGGAATCATTTCACCTGAGGGAAAAGTGTTTTCACTACCTGGATCCGGAACCGAACAAGTGAAAAATTTAAAAGAGTAAGTATTATTCTTCTAGTATAATACTATGTTTAAGTTACTAATTTTTATAAATGTAGGTTTATTTAACGTTTCTAGTACTAGGTCCATTATCTTATATGTCCACGCAAATTTTTCTTTAACTGTGGTACCCTCAATCTGTAATTTTAGTTAAGATCATCAAAGTAAATAGACATTACATTTTACACATACTTTTATACATACAAAACACAGAAATTAAACTGGCTAATTAGACTCCGCCCACTTCAAGGCGCACAAAACCAATCACAAAAAGTGCAGCAAAATATTTCAGCAAAGTACACAGCGGTCTAGATATCAGCCTTCTTCGAACATCTAGAAGAAGCGCAACTAATCTATCATGAAAATGACCTGGCCGAAACATCGTCAAAACAATAAATTAATTATTGTTTTGACCCAGCATTATTCAATGTAGGTTTCTTAAATATTTTACATCTAGCATGGAAAATGCCAGTAACACACAAAAGGAATATAGTTAAGTCGGTATATAGTTAAGTCATTATGTCTAGTCCAAAACGCCATATAGCTAGTCTTTCGGGTACCATATTACTATAATTAGTTTTTTTAACAAAGCAATATGGTGTGTTATGTGACTGACGTACAATTATTTATCGCCTATATACAACAGGTTCACTTACAAAGAAAACTAAACAAATAACCAAATGCATAACAACCACTGAAGAGCTTTCAAGATGCAAACTCTAGTATAAACAATAAAAAATATTTTAATAAATAAATTCTTTTGTGTTATGTGTAGATGGACAAATATGGGATTGGAGGGTCAGTTTATCTATAGGATTGATCAATTGGAAATTGTTGAACCCGATGTCGATTTCGGTAAGTTACAAAGATTATTATTTTTTAAATAGTTTTAAAAGTGACTGTTTTGCCTCCTGAGGGTTCGAAAAAGAATATCGGTTACACTTTTAGCATACTTTTTCATTTCTCTCTGTAGATAGCTGGAAATCTTTGTTGTTGTAAGGATTAATCTCTTTGTCTTATATTTTCTAACATTAGTTTTATAAATTTTCCCCTAAAACATCATATTCTCGTTTTGATTGCTGCTCTCATTTATAATTTTTCCTTTACTGGCGTTTCTTGTTCATTTTAATGAGTTTTCTATAGTAGTTCATTTATTTATGTTTGATATTTTGTTTAATTTTATTTTAGATGTTATTCTCTTTATTTTTGTCTCGCCAAATCTCTGGCTTTCTTTGATTACGGCTAAACTATGGAGTACATAAAAAAATGTTGTATATATGTAAAATAAAACTGATGTATATATCAAAGATATCTATGATCAAATTATTTGACGTATACAATGACTATAATCAGCTAACCGAGTATACTTGTTATTGTATTTCACATATTTATTTTATTCTTAAAGGTGGTAAATCTGATGAGGACGACAACACCTGTGCCAGCGCTAAAACTTTGTGTCATATCCAAGCGAGATGTATAGACTACGACGAAGGATTTTGTTGTGAATGTACTCCAAAACACTATGGAAATGGAAGACATTGTATTAAAAAAGGTAAGAAATGAATTTTGAATAAAAAATATTAATTAATTATTTAAGTAATAGCCTAGACTCTAAGTAATAACAACTACTTTGCGACAAGATAGCATGCAAAACAAACAAATAAGACTAACTTGTGACCTGTAACTCACGTCATCATAAAAGGATTTCCTAAATGGTTTTTTTATTATATCCATTTCAGTCCTGCTATAGCATAATATAACGGAAAGTAGGAAAATCGGTGAAGATTCATAAAAGGACGTCCGCTACTGCTTTTCCTGTGGGGGAGAGGGGTTGGTTGGGCACCGAATTTTTTTATGCTACCTCCATTATTTTGGGTTCTTAATATTTGGGAGTAATTGTGTCGGAATAGTGCCCTGAGGGGGTTTAACCCCACTGGGTGCGCCACTGCACTCCAGACCAAATATTTGTAGTAGTACTAAAATCAATATTAGAAAAATTAACTGAATGAGGTACAGACTTACCTCTTCACCTCTTGGTAGATTTCAAATAAACATATGATTCCATAATTAAGAATGAACTGTACAAGAAAAACAATGCAAGATTTGAGGATGCCATCCAAATTAATCAGACTGATAAAACTATGCCTAACTAATGCTGAAATTACAGTAAGAATGCAAAATAAATTTTCGGAAGAATTGACTTAAAGAAGAAATAATACAAGGATATGCACTTTTCGCTTTATTTCTTTCTTTGGTGCAACGTATTAGGAAAGTACCAATAAATAGAGAATGAGTAGATACTAATATCTAAGAAACTATAGTATATGCAGGTAGTGCTAGATTTTAAAATACTAAGAAAATATGTTTACTTATTTAAAAGGTGTGACGCTAAAAATAAAATGAAGTGGAATGAAAGAATCCGATTCAATGTTAAAAAGCTTGAGCAGGCAACAAAAAAGTTAGCCTGCGCATGTCATCAAAAGACTCATGAGCACGCAGTTAGAATAAATAGAGACAATTAAACACAGGAATAGCAAAGAATTGTGGAAGAAGGCAGGACATGTTTTGAGATTAAAAAAAGACAGGTGATCATTAAGAATAAAAAATTGGAAAGACCACGCGAAAGAGTAGCAGAGACAGACCACTAACAAGTTAGAGTGGCGATATAAAAATAGTAGAGGGACACTGAATTACAGCAGCTCAAGACAAAGCACAGCGGAGCAATTTGTTTAATGGAGGCCTACATCCAGCAGTGGACTCAAACATATGCTGGGTGATAATATTCGGCGAGTCAGTTATTTACTTCGATATATAAACTTTTGAAAAAGTTAATATTGTCGTCCCTTATCTTCTTCTTTAAGTTCCATCTTCTATCGAAGGTTGGAAATCATCATGGCTATGCGGACTCTGTTGACTGCCGCTCTAAAAAGTTCTGCACTACTGCATTCAAACCATTCCCTTAAGTTCTTAAGCCAGGATATTCTTCGTCTTCCCACATTTCGCTTTCCTCGGATTTTGCCCTGCATAATAAGTTGTAATAATGCGTATTTTTGCCCTCTCATCACATGTCCCAAGTACTCAAGTTTTCGTCTTTTAATAGTTAATATTATTTCCGCCTTATTTCCTATCCTTCTAGTTACTTCCATGTTTGACATTCTTTGAATCCATGATATTCGTAGGATTCTTCTGTAACACCAAAATTCAAAGGCGGCCAGCTTATTCAGATGAACTTGTTTTAGTTTTGTCGTCCCTTATAATTGCACATTATTTTTTTAAAGACTAAGCAATTAGCAGTGTTAGGTTTCAAATATTTCTGTTCAATAGGAAATTTTTGTTTATTTTTTAGATGTACCTTTAAGAGTCAATGGAAAAATCTACGGTAAAATTAATGGCGAAAAATTAGATGGTTTGGACTTGCAATCCTATGTGGTAATGTCTGACGGAAGAGCATATACTGCTATATCAAAAGTGCCTGAATCTATCGGATTTGACATTCAGTCAATGCAGATCTTGGGAGGGGTCGTGGGATATTTGTTTGCAAAACCTATTAGGACTGCTCTAAATGGGTAAGATATAATATTTTTATTGTAAAAACTTTACAGTGATGGATTTGACCGTTAGTTGATGGAAATTTATTTTATATGACAATAAAACACTTAATAATTTGAGAAGGGGAGGACTGTTTGCCTTAAGTTGGTCATTTAGAATTATGTCTGTATTTTTAATTTGTTGATTTCCATAGATTCTAATAAATATAGCTTAAGGCCTTTATTTTGGATGTGAGGAATTTGAAATTCATCATTAAAAGAATGAGTCTGGTCTAAAAGATCTGTTTTTCTGTTATTGAAAGCCCTTTTATATCCTACAATACGTTTGTTAAAAGTTCTACCAGTTTGACCGATAAAAGTTTTTGGACAGTCGCCACATTTAAGGTTGTGTACACCACTGTGTAAGTGCTTTTTCTTTTGGCTCTTGTTGTTTTTAATATATTTGCCCAACTTGTTGTTTGTTCTAAAAGCTGGTGTTATTCCTTTCTTTTTTATGTATTTGTCTATTTTTGTTGATATCTTGCCTGCATTTGCAACCGACCAGAAGGTACTGGGTTTTTTCTCTGGTGGTGTAATTACTAATTTCAAGGATTTCTTATGTAGTTTTTGGTGTAAAATTTTATTTATTGTTTTTTCGTGGTACTCATTGTACCTATTTACTTAGTGATTTTTAATATATATCAAAGTTGTTTTTTAACATTGGAATTATATTCTATGTATCATCCTATGGAAGGCTGCCAATCTATGTTGCGTAAGTAATGTTTGGTTTTAAGTCTAATAATTTTAAAATCTAGAAAATTTATGGATTGGTTTAATTCTGTTTCTATTTTAAATTCAATATGACTATGGAGTGAATTATTATACGGTAAAAATGGATCAAAATCGGTCAGATAGCCAAGCGGGCCGGGAGGCTGGCTTCTCACTCGCTTCACTGCGAGTGATGTGAGTTGAATTCCCAGCTCGGTGTACAGAAAACAAAACGGCTAACGCAGCAGTTTAAAATTCTAAATGAATCTACGGCTTAGACTAGAATATGCTGGTATCTGATCGGCCTAATGTGGAGCAGTACGGCAAGAGATAAGGGCTTGCGGCTTAGTGATATTGCTCCATAGATCCCTACCGGAAGGACGTGTGCCGCCTAAATACCGGGTATATATATAAAAATTGATCAAGTAGCAAATATATACAAATTAGAGTACAGGACTTATAATGGGTAATTATCTAAGCCCATTTCTATCAGATATTTTTATGGATCATCTAGAACAGGGTTGTCCAACTGGCGGCCCGCGGGCCGCATCCGGCCCGCGAGGCTAACACTGTGAAAAAATATTTTTTAATTTATTTTATATTTTATGGTTTAGCGGTGATTTTACATCACAAGTACTGTACCGCGTGCCGCTTCGCGGACGTGTAACGAACACAATCGTCCTCCACCACTATGAGAACTGCACTGCTTACCATCCGTCGCCAGCCGCCATCGTGCCAGTGTGCTACTGACACATAGGCTAGTCGGCTAATCTATTACGTTGCTAGTGAACAGTGAACTTGATTAATTCTTTGTATTGATTCCTTTTATACAATAATGTGTGTATTACCAGTAAAACGGAAAATTGATAGTGAGAACAGAATTTACAAAGAACGTTGGGAGAGTGATTACTTGATTGCTAACAATAATGGAAATTTGCAGTGCTTAGTGTGCATGAATGTCGTTTCAGTGCCTAAAGAATATAATGTGAGAAGACATGCATGAAAATAAGTATGCTACTTACACAAAAGAAAGTCGGCGTGCCCTAGTTGCAGATTTAAAGCTTAAACAGCAAACTGGTATGTTCAGTAAAATATTGCACTCTCAAACGCATTCTTTGCACGCATCTTATGCGGTGTCGCTTGAGCTGCCAAAGGCAAAAAAACCTTTTACTGATGGCAATTTGATTAAAAAATGTGCTGTTGAAATGGCCAAAGCTTTCGGTGATTCTAAAATGGCGGAGAAATTTGAATCAGTGCCACTTTCACATCAAACCATACAAAGAAGGATTGTTGCTATGGGTGAGCAAGTAGAAAAATCTATGCTTAGCCTGGTTAAGAAAAGTTCATATTTTTCACTTTGTTTGGATGAAAGCACTAATCAAACCAATGTTAATCAGCTGCTAATATTTGTGCGCACTATTTTTGATGATTTTACCAATAAAGAAGAGTTATTTGATATTTGTCCTCTTTATGGAACAACAAAAGGAAAAGACATCTATGAGGCTGTGAAGAAAACAGTTGAAAGAATTGGAGGCTTTGATAAATGTTCAGCCATAGCAATAGACGGGGCCCCATCTATGACAGGTAAAAAAATTGGATTAGTGGGTCTGCTTTGAGAGAATGGTGTCACTTGCCCAACAATTCATTGTATTATACATCAGGGAGCTTTATGTGGAAAATCAGTCAAGAAAGATCATGTTTTCCAAACCGTGATTAAGATTATAAATATGATTAGAGGTGGAAATCGATCTCTTTTACACAGGCAACTTAAGCAGTTTTTAGTGGAAACAGAGGCTGAGTATGGAGACTTGCTAATGTACAACCATGTAAGGTGGCTGAAATTTCTGTATTTCTCAACAAATACGTTTCACCTGACACAACTGAACTGGAAGAGAAGTTTAAAGATCCAGAATTCTTAAGACAGTTAGCTTTTATAACAGATCTGACTAATTATCTTAACATGTTAAACTTGAGTCTTCAAGGAAGAAACCAGACGGTTTCAGATTTGATCGGAATGATAAATGGATTCCGGAATAAGCTGAGCATGTTTAAACGTGTTTTAAAAAAGAACAACCTGACACACTTCCCTAGCGGTCTGCAAATAGCAGAAGAATTCAACGGTGAGGAAAATATTGAGTTTTCATCCTGCATTTCACAAATTGAATAAGTTATTGATGAATTCAATACAAGATTTGAAGAAATTGAAAGTCTCAAAAGCAGTGTACTACTTTATAATAACCCTCTTGGAGCAACCATTGATGATCAACC